TTCAGTTTATTTAAAGGTTAGTTAGTGTTGAAATCGTTATGAATTTTTTGAATGAATGCCTTCTAACTCCCAGGGCAGAGCTAAAATGGTTTGAATTGATATTTTTGGTTAGCGGTTTTTAGCAAGTTAGTTTTTTACGGGATAGGGTCGCTATCCCCACTGGCAAACCACCTTTATCCGGGCTTGGGACTGCCAGCAACTCCAGAGGGGTTCCGTGCAGATTTCCAGATTGAACAATATCTGGAACTCGAAACAGCTGTCAACCAACACCGAAGTCACAGCTTTCAATACAAATATCAAGACTGTTCTACTGCATGTGGCGGAAACTCGAAAAAAGTTACTGAGGCCATCGTCCAGAAGACACAAGTATTCATGAACAGTTGTCTACGCACAATAATTCGAATCGGTTGACCAAATACCATAAGTGACGACCTACTGTGTCAAAGAACTCGCCAGTTTCCAATGGAGGAAGAAATCAGGTAGAGGCGCTTGAAGTGGATAGCACACACACTGAGAAAAGCACCGAAATGCCCCACGAGACTAGGCCTCACTTGGAACTTTCAAGGAGCCCTCAAGAGGAAAAGAGGAAGACCAAGGAACACAATACGCCGAGTAATGGAGATAGACATGAGAATAATGAACAAAAATTGAACAGAACTGGAAAGGGAGGTCTAGGACAGAGTAGGCTAGAAAATACCGGTTAGCGGTCCATGCTCCATTGAACGTAACAGGCGTAAGTAACTAAGTAAGTAGTGTTGAACTCATCAAACGATAAACTTTACAATTCAAGAATCTTTACATCTTTCCTTAAAAGAATTCTAACATTTAGTTGTTAATTCTCATGTTAAATTAGAATAAAACGTTTTAGATACTGTAAGATAAGTTTTTACATACAACGCAGTTAACAGTTCATCAAAAATACATATACTTATCGACAACATATAGTGTTAATTATTTTACAAACTGAATAATCTCAACAGTACAAATAACGTAAACATGACCATTTCTTTCATAAAAATATAACTGAAACATTAAAATATTTTTTTATTACTAGCAAACAATGTGTAGAGAGATGTTAATTAACAATTAATTGTATGTACATTGTAGTTGTTATATCTTTAAAAAAAAACTGTCTAGTTTACAATTAGAAGATGACTAATTCTTTTTATGTTAATTTGTCTATCTTTTGTTTCAATAGGGATAGTAGATACAATCTATGCTTGGAAATTACAATACTACATTATCACAGTAGGATGATTTTTTTGATATCTGACAGATGTAGTTTTTCGGTCTTTGTAATATTTTCAAAGCAAAGAATTATCTTCGAAAACTGTTAAAAAATGAACATATTTACGGCGAGTTGTAAACATTCCTAGAAGAGACACATTATGACTGAACGCAGCCGTCTCGAAGTTTTAAGTTATTCTAGGTATCTCTGTAAATTTGAACATCTGCATAGTTTGTATTACTCCAAAATGAGTGTGAAAATAAAACATCGGTTCTCCAAAACAAAAAGAACACTTTTCTTTGTTAACATCATAGAATGATCCTTGATTGAACAACCACTGAAAGTCATTGAGCACTGGAAAACTGTTTTGTCATAGCATGGGACAACTATACAGTGAGCATGTCTCACTTCGCTATCATGACTTTCTGTCTCATGTATGAAAGCCAAACCTATAGACCACTAAGTTGACATAAAATGGTTTACGTGTATAACTTCAAACAATTCATAAAATCAAGTAACCATCTTGTAATCTGTTCAGTCAATAACTTCTCTACGCTCAATATGGTTGAACTCTATTGGTATTCTTTGGTTCAACAATGAAATATAAATAATTATCTAGCTAAAATAATGATAAAAACGCTGTCTTGTGAAATAGATAAATATATGCATACTTTAACTCATTTTTTGAGAATTTCAATACCTTAAAATCATGAATCAGTAATTGTTAGACCACCACTAGAAACCCGGAAACTTAGGATGACCGTTTAGTCCTGGTATGGAACTCATCAGCAGTGCGCATCCACGACTCACAGTATCCAACCCTAGGACCTCCAGTGTTGCATACGAACACTTAACCTATGAACCACTGGACCGGCATCCAAAGGTGTTAACTTCCAATGTCTAGGGATTTTGCGCGACCTCACCCATTGTACGATTTTTCAATAAAGCTTTAATTAGTTGGACAATTCAGATCATCAGGCTTCATACCTTTTTTTATATTATAAAGCCATCACTAAATGCAAACAATTTCGACTGATTTGTAAAGCTGAACACTATGATTCAACTATTGTACATTAGTAATATGATCTGAAATATTCGGAAACACGTAGCTTACACAACAAATAACTTTTCATGATTATTAAACCATGTGCTAATCCGTAAATGATTACAAAGCTTCCTTCGAGATAGTTTGAAAAAACCTATTGCTAGTTGAGGTAAGCTAAATTAGGATTATGATATGCTCACCAACTGATATGCTTGAAACTATTACAAGTTCACCTTACTCGGTAAACGGAAAGAAGATCCACGATACAGTGACACGATAAGCTATTCGAATCCGTTTATCCCCGACCCTGCTAACTATAGAAAGAAGTCTTGATAAAGCATACAGAATGTATTCTACAGGCACCCAGAAAATTCAATGTTGCTTATTTATAAAATGATAGAAATACCATTGAGAGAGCCTGAAAATAGCATACTGAACTAATCCATCAATTAATGACAGTCATGGATTTTCCTAAGTGGGAAATGAAGCGCCTTTGGCGCGAAAACACGGAAGTTCAAAATTTCAGAAATAAATTATAGAATTAACATCTTTTGCAAGTGAGTTCTGGGGATCTCACATCCCCAACAGATAGACAGACAGATACAACGCAGAACGTTGTACGTAAGTACATCAGTCAGGTTGCCAAACCCCTTTAGCACAGAGACGCAACTGTCTGTTCAAATCCAACAGTGATAGCAATAATAGAAGTATTAGCAGTAATGGAGAAGATTAGGGAGCAAAGATATGATTCGAGAAGTATAATTCAGTGAGATAAATTTAGAAGGAGGGAGATAGAGATTATGAGGAATTCAGAAGAATGGAATTAGCGAGAACACAAACAGTGGATGCACCTGCGCCATTGCAAACGATTCTGAGCCATGTCGTTCAAGGTCTCTAACCATTGGTGACTATCGTCTCGTGGACCCCAACCAGATAGCCTACATCTGTCAACATGACTCAGTCCACTTGTAAGTGACCTCATGGATTCGTTCAATGTTTTGGTTTGGCAGCCCCTAGCTACGTCCCCAACAGATTGAAACACTATTGATGTTTTCCGAAAATCGATCACACATTACTAATAAGTGACCAATGTTAAAAATGTAAATTATAAAACTTGCTTTAAATTCAATTTTTCTAATATTAATCTTCTATATTTGATCTTAAACTCCAAACGAAACAGATACCCATCGCTTTGTTGCTTATCCACGACCCTCTACTTGAGAATGTTTTCCAATCTTAGAAATTAACTTCAATGCTGTTGTAGTGAAGGAGAACACAGGTGAGGGCAACCTAATTGTATTCAGCAAAAATTACAGAGTTACTCAGTAAAATAGGAAAACCATATCGTAAACGGTTAATTTGCAAATCTTCAATCCATCATCAATCCATTGTCTGACATTTCACCACTATTCATGCGTTTCATACACAAATTCCATTGTGTTCCCACTCTTCCTTTCCCTTGATCTTCCCCCATCTTCTGCTGCCAGACATTACGTTTTCACTCGCGTCATATACTACTTATAAGTAGCGCGCACCACGCTGTAACTGGTTAATTCATTATATATATATATATATATAATAGTAGTTTCTGAAAATTTTCTTCTAATTCCTTTCCACTAGTAAATAGATTTTGCATAAATCAATATCACTAACAATGTAGTTTATAGCGAGCTAGAGAGAGAGAGAGTGAGAAAATCAAGATAAGCAATGTGTTGTTTAAATATTTCATAAGAAAAACTTTCTTTAACAATTTCATTCTCTTCTCTCTCTCTCTCTCTCTCTCTCTCTCTCTCTCTCTATATATATATATATATATATATATATATATATATATATATATTTATACACTAGGGTATTTATTTGATAGACACTTTTTTTCTAATTAATTAATTTATCATGATGATGATGATGAAGTTGGTGATGAATATTCAAATAATCTGTTGTTTTATTTTCGCCTCTTTCTTTTCTTTCAACGCATTAAATAACGTATTCATTGAATGAATATTTTTAATTGAATAGTTTTCCGTAATGTACACAATTTCACAAATTCATTTATTCTTCTTGTACATATGACTAGACAATATTTTGTATTTGGTTTTCAAGTGTTCAAAATGTGTATGAATTTTTCTTCATAGATTGATAAATTTATTTATACTGTAAGATATGAAACTAGGGATGAAGTGAAACAATCACTTGACTTGTTTAAATCGTAAGCAATTACAAGCAAATTTACAGGTTGGCTTCTTGATGAGATGAATTTTTGCCGAGTCTATGGAAGCTTTAATTTCAGTGTGATGAAAATGCCAACATTCATATTGAAATTACATTGTGTCTAGTTGATGTAGAAACATTGAAACTGAATTGAACTTTGAACAGATTACAACTACGCTAAGAGAGAGATGTTTTTATCTGGTCAGGATTGTGTTATCATTAACAGGAAGATTAAATGGTTCTAACTGAAAACAACTCACAGAATGAGGTTGTAGTAACTGTTAAGTGTTATCGTGATCATGAACTACTGAATATCTGTTTCGTCCTAGCCAAGGACTCTTCAAAAGTACATATCCAACGTTTCATTATAAATTTGAAAGTCTATTTTTTAATGTCTCAAGTTAAATTGTGTTAAAATGAGAACAAATAAGTTTAAGACGGTGGTTTTAAGAAAAACCTCATTTTACAAAATAACTTTATCCTGTTTACTTTTTATATTGGTAATTAAAATTTAAGGTCTTGAACCACATGGAAATACTGTCGGGAATCCTGCACGATTCACTATTGATACATTCAGTGCTGGTCGAGGTGCTGTTGAAGTGATTGTATTGAATCCTAAAGGACAAAGAGAACCAGTAAGTCAATAATTAGTTGTTTTAATTATAATCAAAATCTCAATTTTTTTTGTTCTGCTATCTACTAAGCCTTACTCACTGAAACGTGGAGTGCAATTTACGTTAGAAGATATTCTAGTACATGAATATGAATAAAGTTTACTAAATTTTGATTACTTTCAGTTATCCTCTGTTACCTTCTATTGTTTTGACCATTTTCAAGACATATCTCCCTTATGTGATGTACACCTTAAGACTTAGATTCTAACATAAATGTACGGTTCCTAATGAAAGAAATTCAAAGCCTATTGCTAAATGGGTTAAGTTGGAGCCTAATTCATAGAAGCATTCCACAAAATAACAATAGTTAACTTATTTTTCAATAATCAGTTATATAAAAAAACAGCGAACTGATAGTCATTAGGCTATAAGTTGTAAGAAAGCTAGGAGCAGCCAAACTAAAACATGGTACAAACCCATGAAGTCATTGACAACTGGACTCAGTGATGCTGGTAAGTGTAGACTACCTGGTTAGGGTCCGCGAGATGATAGTAACCGATAATTAGAGAACTTGAACGATATGGCTCGAAATCGTTTGCAATGGCATAGATGCATCCACTCTTTGTGTTCTCTCAAATTCTTATCTTCTGAATTGCTCATCACCTCTATGTTTCTCATTCTAAAGTTTTGTCACTGAATTATACTTCTTGAATAGCTCCTTTGAACCTTAATCTTCTCCATAACCGCTAATGCTTCTGCAATCTCTACCACTATGGGATTTGAACTGATAATTGCGGCTCATCGGCAGTGCCATTTCACGACTACGCAATCTGGAATGAGAGCCAGGACTCTCTATTTTCCACGTGAATGCTTAACTTCTTGACTACTATGCTAGCATTCAACGGTGCTAATGTCTAACTTGAATCAATCCACGTTATTGTGCGACCATTATCCATTGTCATCGATGGGTAAATGATTCACAGTCGACACTGTTGAATTACACTGATCTTGCATTTACATATGAAGAGATATAATCATTTGAGTTGTTAACACTTATTTGAATAAAAGAAACACACATCCAAATAAAAATATTGCTGTTGTTTTTAATTAGATCGTCATCAGGCTTCACTCTCTAATATATACATGAATATTCATATGAAAATATTAAACCAATCAAGGCAATTTGAGTCAATAATTACAATGAACTAGATTACATCACTTTTGTTATCGTATTTTATTATTCTTACTACTATCACAGTACACCTGTCTTCCTACTATCAACTATTGTACTTTTACCTATTATGTGTAGTGAGTAATCTATTTCATTTCATTGTGATTATTGACTCAAATTGCCTTGATTGGTTTAACATTTTCATACGAATATTCATGTATATTAGAGAGTAAAGCCTGATGACTATCTAATTGAAAACAACAGTACTGTTTAATTGGATGAGTTGTCCTAATTTTCACAATGAGAAACCTATTGAATAGACAAACGATAAATTTTATTCTGAAAGTCTCAGTAATTCCTGTAGAAGTGGAAGATAATGATAAATAATTTAAATAGAATTATAAATTCTGTCGCATTTAGTATTGTCTACAATTTATCAGTTCACTACAAAAGCACTCGATTCTTAAATACCATTTTAGGAATAAAGTAAAATGCAAGTTATCGAAAATTATGTGCTTGGAAGACCTCAAGTATTAAACATTTATACAGTTTTGCTTTTACAATGTATGTTATAGGGTACCCACATCAGTAAAACGTTTTTCTCACATTTTACTATCAAAAAGAGCAGTTCGTTTGCTACAAACAGATTATTTGATTTCCGAATACATTTTTTAGAATAGTATTTGACCTAACTTTCTTTCCTTCAGCTATTTCATTACCTTTGAAGTCAAGTCTTTTGTAGGACTAAAGGATCTACAGTCAATTAGTTGAATTTAAATCCATCAGATAAGATCACCTCCCTCAGTACTACAGATAAACCTTACTAAAGAGGGTTAAATGACATAAAGCTCTGGTAGAGAGTTTCCTGTCAACTAACTCTAAACACCACCTTATATTTCAGCATACTGAACACGATTTTGAGTCAGTTATAGTAGTAACTACATTACAACTGATTTAGTAGACTTCGATTAACACTAAGAATGACGTAAGATACGGGATTTAACCACTACTGAATGATCAGTAAATTTTAACGATACAAGTTTCCCGTAATCGTATCATATTCCACTTCATTAGTTTTTGTATTCACATGTTTAATTATGTCTTCCAGGCATTGCTCCTATATCCTGGGACAGCCGAGTGAGAAATGCCATAGTTAGGAAACGGGCCTCAGGTAAGGATGGCAGATCAATAGATGAAGTATTGAAACTGCATTAGTTGTGGTGGCTAGCACATGTGTATGCCTAACCACCGACTGCCACGTAGAGCTTTGTTTTACCATACAGGAATAAGTTAGAAGAAAAAAAGGGGCGGCCAAACCAAAACATGGCAAAAATCCATGAAGTCACTGACAACTGGACTCAGCCATGCTGGTAAGTGTAGACTACCAGGTTAGGGTCAGCGAGATGAAAGTAACCGATGGTTAGAGAACTTGGACGACATGCCTCGAAATTTTTTGCAATGGCGCAGATGCATCCATTCATTGTGTTCTCTCAATTTCTCATCACCTTTATCTTTTTAAGTTTATTTCACTAGATTCTATTTCTTGAATAATATCCTCAAACCATAATCCCTCAGATTATTGCTAATACCTTACTAACCCTACTAATATGGGATTTGAATTGACAATTACATCTCTGTGATAATGTGGTACGACAAGTTGTAACTTACTGACTGTTTAGTTATAAAGTTTTGCGAAAAGTTACTATTATGTAGACAGTGTTCAACTTTAATAAATTCCTACTTGATTTCATCTAAAAGCGTTTTCTTTTCTTTGTGCTATTTAGTGTGATGTACTTAGTAATAATGATAAACAACAGACTTATTCATGCGCTTATGTTCCAACACAAGAAGGTGAATACAGAGTTATTATTAAATTTGCTACAAAAGAAATTTTAAATTCACCATTCAAAGTTATGATCGAAGGTGCACAAGGTGATGCAAGTAAAGCAACTGCATCTGGTCCTGGGATTGAACCGACTGGGAATCAAGTTGGTCGACGTACATTCTTTAATATATTCACTGCTGGTAATTATATTTTTTTTATCTTTATTTCTGAATAAAATATAGTTTGAGTATTTTATTTCATGGTTTTAATGATGAGTGGTTTTCTGATTATTCAGTCTTTTTTCCAGTTAGAGTTATGGAGATCAGTGTTTTTACAGATTGAAATCATCAATCAATCATTGACAGACTCGTCCTGGTATGGGACTCATCAGCGGTGTACACCCAAGACTCCTGCTACTCACACGATTCGAACCCAGGACCTTCGGTCTTTAGCGCGAACACTTAACCTTTGAACCTGTGGGCCGGCATCCAATGGTGTTACTGTCTGACTATGATCAATCTAAAGATCTCGTGCAACCTCACCCATTGTCTTCGGCAATTACAACCTACATCCAACAGGGTTGAACGAAAGTAGTCTCTAGTGAGCACATTGTACGGTTTCTTTAATTTGAGTTATGGTGACCAGTGTTTTTACACACTGAGAAGACGTGACTAGTGGAGTTCAAACCTGTCGGGTGTAGGGAGTAACTACCGAAGAAAAATGAGTCAGGTAGCGCAAACGCTCTAGATTGATCAGAGTTAGAAATTAACACCGTTGGATGCCTGCACAGCTGTTCATACGTTAGGCGTTCGTGCGCAAGTCTGAAGGTCCTGGATTCGGATCCTGCGAGTAACAGAAGTCGTGAATGCACACTTCCGAAGATTCCCATACCAGTCCAGTGCTTCTAAGTTTCTAATCGTGGTCTAACAAGGAATGATTGATGATTAACCAGTCTGTCAACTGTGGTAATAGGTTGGGAAAATTTTATTGTATGTTGAACATTAATTCACAATGCAAACTAGGTTTTCACCCTTACTGATTGAATGAATAAATTTGGATAATACTTATTCGATATGTCCATTGTTTGAATATTTGAAAGTGACTTTATAACCGCTTATCAATCTCCTATAGTCATTAGGTTGATATCTATCTAATTAAGGTATGATGTATAATCTATCTAGCTCTTCAGAACATGTGTTTAGATAGATTTGGAATGCTTTTACGAAAAACTTTTGAGAGCTTCAGATAATTTTCCGATTTCGTTGGATTCATTAATAAACTATTTGATTTAAGACGTCATTAATTTTCAATGGAGTAATTTTCATGATACGGTTGTAGAGATTGTTGAGTGTCACTGAATTAATGAATCGATCAATGCTAGACCACTATTAGAAACCTGGAAGCACTGAACGGCTGTTTCGTCCTGATGTGGGACTCGTCAGCAGTGCATATCCACAATCCCCATGGGCGGGAGTCGAACCCAGGACCTTGAAGTAATTGTCCAGTCAAATAATTTTGTTTAGCTCATATCATGTTCTGTCACATATCAATCACGTCCTATATATACCACTCAGTATAAACAGAAAGACAATCTAGGATTATGTTTACATTCAACAAATATCAAGTATTGAATAACCTGAAAATAAAATTCCAAATGTGATGTAGTGCGTCAAAATCAGGAAAATATTGAAATCTTCATTCTCTTCAAACTGTTTAACCGATAAAATAGTTGAGATAGTCTTAAATCTATTCAAAACATATTACTTTTATCAGTTCCAGTCGTTTCAACAGCACATCTGTAATATAATAGATTTCTTTATTTACAACTATGATTCTTTACATGGTCTATGAATTCATTTAGCCATTCAGCGACGTAAATAAACCATAAACTATAAGTGACGATTCTGGGCTTGTCTAGCTGCATTTCGCCGGAGTTCCCCTAAAAGTTTATCATAGGATACCCTAAAGTCGGATCTGCTACATTTAAGAACTCAATCATTTATTTCCGGAACTGCACAACTCAACACAATGAATGAGAAAAACATTCCCCCCAAACACACAGAATGATATAGCTTTTTGAAAGGCACAATAAAAGTAGCGTTCGCACAAATGCAAAAGCATTTATTACTTCTGCCAGAAGTCAGTCAGTCAGATGCAACGTAGAACTTCGTTCGTGAGTACATCAGTTCATGTCGCCATACCACATCAGCACAGAGATATAATTGTCAATTCAAATCTAATA